CTGAACGTACATATACATACATGCATATATTTTATATATGTATATTGGTATAAGCAATAGCACGAATTTATGCATATGTGGGTTTGGCTGCAGCAGTTCTTTGACCCAGAAACCTTTGAAATGCCATTTCTAGCAAGGAACAGGTACACATGTATATACGTACTGTATAAAATGTGGTCAATCCGCGTTCCTATGTGCGTGCGTGCTTGATACGCGTGCGTTCCACAAACGCATCTTTCACATTAGTTGGTATTAGTTTATTGTTGTTGCAATTAATTTTTATAATTTTTCGCTCATACGAAATATTCTACATGCCTACACATAATGTGTCTTAGTTAGTGCTGTCTGGTAGCCCTTTAGACTTTGCACCGCATGCAGCCCTCCCTCACCGCTGCCGCTCCCACCAATTTGCGGCCACACAATATTATATATTGCGCCTTCTTTCTTTGGCTGTCAGCTCAGTTAGGCTGTTGTTTGACTGTTTACATATTCCTTTTGTTTTTTATAACTGGGCTTGGCTCTACATTTGTGTGCATATGAGAGTGCGTGTATGTTTACCACTTCGTTTCTGGCACAGTGTGAATTGTTCCGCTTGTAACAGTTCGGCATTTAGAGGGTTTCCCTAAATTGCTTTTACTGCATACTTTTACTGACTCGCATTATGTGTCTTCCACAGAGCTTATATTTTTGTTCAATTCACTTTGTTTGCACCCTACCTTCCCAACCCAGTTTCTGGTTCCGAAGCCAACATTGCCATATAGCGTGACCGAGTTGCCATTCTTATTGTGTTTTCTGTAATTCTGACTTTCTTGCGGCTTATAGTTCTTATTAGCACATTGAGCGTGGTCAGTATTATATATAGTAGTGCATATAATATGATTACAATAAGAACTTTACACACATGTGTGTATATTTTCCTTGGTATAAAGAGAGTCCTTTAAATCTAATGCTATCCAAATACACAGAAATAAAAAAATATTTATCAAMTCCGCTATTAAAAAACTTTTTTATATGTCTGCAAATTTATCACGCGATGCATACAATCAGCAACCCACATCTAAACACGTCTTCATGAGATCGTAGCCTCGCTTATTGTATATAAATACATATACATGCATCAAAAAAATAAATTTAATTATATGTTTAATTGTGCAACATGGGAGTATTATAACGGATATTATTGCGCTTTAGGTATTTGTGTAAGCGTTATCTAAGTGAGCAACACCTTTTTCATATACTATTTTATCTGTACGTATGAGACAAGCCCATTTTTTTTTTTGAAATATACCATGAACAAGTTTGTAATCAGTATGATCTCACGGGCCGCTTAGTTTTAGACTTTTATGAAGTCATAAGTGCTGTACATATTGCAACAGGTATACAGATATCGTTTACATAACAGTTTTTATATCAAACTGTTAAGGATTACGAGCAGTTTTGATTTCGATATGTTTATCTGCTCACTTTTCCATTCGTCTGCCCTTTAGTTTAAAATTTTAATTTAAAACTGAATAAGAAATCTAAAAGAAACTTGAAAGTGTATTGTTTTTTGATTTGGCAGCATTTTTGTGAAGGTAAAAAATAGTTTTACAATTTTTAAAAAATCAACAAAAGAAAAAATAATAATATCACAATTTAAGAAAAATCACAAAAAAAATTAAAATCATTGTAATTTTCAATTTTTCATATTAAAAATAGTTTTAGTTTAGTTTAGCTAGTTTTTTTTTGTATTTTTTTAATTTAATAATTTTTAATGTCTCATATTAAAAATAATTTTACAGGTTTAGATTGTGACAAAAACAGTACCTGGAAATTGTAAATAAAACGCAAAATACTTTATTATTCATCAATAATTATCGATATGATTCGAGCGAGAATGCGTTTCATACCTAAAGTATCCACTAAGATCATACGAAGGGATTCGAGAAAACTGCTGAGCTTTCTTGCCATTCCTCTAACACTTGCACAGAGTTTACCATAAAGTCCTTCTGTCCATCATATCGATTTTGCTGCTTTTGCATATAGCTGCCATACAATATGGCCGATTATAATCACGATAAAGGACTTTTTATACCCTTTTGTGCTCTAAGAGAGGCAATTGTAGAGCCTACTAAAGCTTCAGTGCAACCGACATCAACGTTGCTTCACGTTTTATTTATTTCTTTTTTTTAACTCAGCAGCAATAAAAAAATTGCATAAAAGTCGTACTATGACAAATTCGCCACTTTGAGATTTGAAGATTGCCATATATTTTTGCTAGGAGTAACTTCAAACTACAGTATTTTTCAAAACTATGTCATAAGCACTTACATATATGTATATACGTATATAGACGATAATATTAAAATTTACAAAAGCGCACAAGTACCATGAATGTGACTGTCTGGATGGTTTGGCTAGCGCATTTATGGCGAGCGAGTGCCGTTGCTGCCTGCATGTTGAGTCTTCTTCAACTGCAGCGCATCACCGCTATTGTGCTATTATTTTCATTTTCCCAGTTTTCTTCAGTTAGCGATTATGCAAGAAACTTTTGGTATTTTTGTAGTTGCACTCAACGGCTCAACACCCAATGTCTGTAACTCACTGTGGCAACTAACCACTTTTTCTTTTACAGCGGCTATTTATACAAACAAATATGGTGTTGTTGCATTTTGTATTTTGTTGAGTGAAAAACAAAAATATTGAAATTAACTGCGCTAAGCACCGCAACAGCCGCGAACTGCAGCTGGGGGTATACAATAAGTGCAATTTTGTCAGCCGCCTCAAAGCTACAAGCTACACAGTTGTCTTGCATTTTGCCGCTGGCTTCACCAAAATATTTTAGTGCGCGGCAGCATCATATTGCGGAAATCTTGTCGCGCATTTTGGCGTTTAAGCAGCAAACAGCTTTTTCTCTATAGTTATGCAGCCGCAAACCGACACTCGCCACCACACTTGCAGCGACAACTAGTTGAACTAATGTGGCAAGTTGCTTGCTGGCAGGCAGCAAATGGCAAGTGAGACAGCAAGTTGCATAAATTAATTGTGTTATTTTAGGCATTTCGCTAATTTCTTATTTTCCCCTTCGCGCTTTTTAGTTGAGCGAGTGCGAGTTTGACTATGCTTGCGTTAGTTGTTGTTGTTATTTTTTTACAATTTTATTGAAATTACTCCAATTGGGCATATTGCGTGCATTTACATAATTTTATTATTTGTTGTTGCTGTGAAACTTTAAATTGCTTACAACTACCGCGTAAATTCAAAAGACTCAGGAAACGAACGCGCGTAATACGTGGCGTATGATGAATGTGTGTGTGCTATTACATACTTCCATAGGGGTATCTAACCGCATGCGCTCACTTCCCGCATGGCAATTAATTTGCAAGTATAATTTTTACAAACTAAGCAAATCTGCATAATAATAAAAAAACATTAATTAATTAAAAAAAGAGATAATAATTTTAATAATGTGCGACTACCTCTCAATTATAATTTTATTTTGATATCTTAATTTGCCCAATTATTTATACATAGCTTATCTCTTTATGAGCCCATAAATCAATTAAGTTGCACTTTTTATCATAACTAATTTGTCTTTTAGACATGCCACTTCTGTTTTTCCAGCTATAATGGCAATAGGCAAATCAAGTTGAATTTTAACTAAAATGCGCATACATTACTTTTAAAACAATTTTAGCCGGTGGCTATGTTTTTTAATATCTGCATAAAATATGATCAAACATAGGAAACGAGCTATTCATTAACGTGTTTAGACAATAATATATCAGTCTTTACAAATAGTAATAAGTGAAAGAAACTGAAGGAAAAAACAATTTTTTTTTTTTTGTTTTTGATTTTTAAAAAAAGAAAAAAGCCAATTTTTCGTCATATCTCAAGTTTATGATTACAAATCTTCACATTTACAATATCAATAAAAGTTACAGCAATGATCTGTATATGAACGATACACAATACCAAAATGAAACATAGACCACCCTATAAAATATAAATATATATATCACAAGCTGTGTCATTTTAAAAATGTGCATCCGTTTCTCCGATCCAAAGCTTTGCACATGCTCATTTCCGTGCAGTAACTAATTCAAGCAGTTGATTTATACTTTATTTATGCAATTTGTTAACCAATTGTGTTTGTTTACGAGAAATTTCTCGTTTTTAAATTTAATAGGCTTTGACAACCACTTTTTCACTTTCACTAGTTTGCAGTGACAGAAACTCAGTCAACATCCTGCAATATTCGAACAATTGCCAATTATTTACGCTTCCCCCAAAACAAGCTATGATAAAAGCGGAAAGCCGCAACAAGCCAGTTGGTTGCCACAAAAGTGCCAAGCAGCAGTTTGACAGTGAGCTGCCGTAAAGTTGGAGGAGTGATATGGAAGTAGTAAATTTATATATACATATATGTAGATTAGGGTGTGGAAAAAAATGAGCATTTTTGGTACTTTAAAATAGGTTTTTAGACACCGCAAAGAAAGTTTCTCCAAGATATTCTTTCAAGTATTAGAAGCGAGTTGCGCTTTTTTATCTGGTAATAAGAAAAAGTAGTAAACTGTAAGACCTCTCAAACTTTGAGAGTTTTTTGTTTAAGGTGTTCAAAGATTATTTTTCAGAATGCCAAGCGAAAAAATCATTATTTTTTTGTTGCCACACCCTAATGTAAACGTTCATGTAAAGTAAATAAATTGCATATCAATACTATAATAAGAATTATAAAAAGGACAAATTTATGATTTTTTTTAATATTTAAAAAT